GATCAGAAAAACTTGCCGAATCCTATTAAAAGAACCCAGGTAGAAGGTGACTAGATGGTAACTTATCATAAGTACAAGTTTAAGAACTGCAGTTCTATTTCAATTGTGACCAGAATTTCTGACCAGTGACTTGTCAACAATAAACAGTTTAGTCACTTGTCAGAGACTAGACGGGTTATCTTGTCAAAATTTAGAAAAATGTAAACTTTTGTAATGTGACAGTGAAACGATCATGGCCTTTAAATAAAAAATACGAAAAATTTTATATTAATTAGTAAAGAATCATAATTTTAAAAGCATGTATAAAAGTGTGCATGTTATCTAAGATTATGAATGTTTTAAAAAGACTGTTACTTTAGACTTTTCTGTTTTTGACCGTATGGAACATAAAAATTATTTTTAATATTTAATTATAAATGATTGACTAAGAGTGTAGGGGCGATTGGGGAATTGTGGGCCACCTCTATTATATAATAATATTTACAAGTTTGATCATCCAATTTTTTTTTTATTTTCTTTTGTTCGTCTAAAGTAAATTTTTCATTAGCATTTCATAACTTTACAACGCTTTACAATTACCTACAAACCATTAACAAAAATCACCTGAAAAATTGCATTCAAATATTTATTTTGGGCCTTCATGTTTTTATTGTTTTTACAAGGATTTTCAAGAATTAATTATAGAGAATATTTTTTTAAATTATTGTGTGTCATTGGTACCTACTTTGAATCCAAAAACAAAATTTTGCATGCATTAAATTAAAATGAATAAATTTTTTCTAAAATGAAGCATTTGGGGAATTGTGGGACCCTTTTTGGGGGGAAGTATTTGTTGCTTGTTTTTAGCGATTTAATTGGAAATATTATTAAAATCACTCATAGTTATAGTAATTTAACAAAAACAATTATATTCATTGCGATTCAAGCGATAGAGCTGTTCAATTAAAATGTGTAATTAATTGAGCCTATTTTACTTGTCTAAATTGTGATTCCAATTAATTTCATTTTCTTGCTTTTCGTTTTCTAATTTTATACTAATAACTAAACATTTATAACATTTTTAATATTTCTAACCATTTAATAAATATATTTCATCGTTATTTTTTTTAACTCAATTTAGGCAGTGGCCCACAATTACTTAACATTTTTAAAAATCATAAAAGTGCACTCTTTGGTAAAACTGAAATTTCTTTTAGATAAGTGATAATTTTGGTAAACTAACTATGATACATGATAGTTTAGACCTCCTACTGACACGAAGAATTTTAAAATTTAAAAAAAAAATTTTTGTGTAAGATATTGAGATAAAAAATTGTGTGGCCCACAATTCCTTAGTGTTTTTTTCTTAGTGTCAAGATTTTCTAGCTAGGAATTTGGAAAAATCTAGAATAATTCTTTTAATAGGATTCGGCAAGTTTTTCTGATCAGTGGTGGACCTGATTTTCTAGGTAGAATCTTAAGTAATTCTTCAAATCAGTGACTGCTGACCCAGCAACTGACCAGTTACTAAGGAAAAAAACAAAGCACCAGTTCCATAAAAATACACTCTTAGTCAATCATTTATAATTAGATATTAAAAATATTTTTTATGTTCCATACGGTCAAAAACAGAAAAGTCTAAAGTAACTTTATATAAAAGTTATGACTGTTTCACTGTCACATTACCAAAGTTTACATTTTTCTAAATTTTGACAAGATAAGTCGTTAAGTCTCTGACAAGTGACTAAACAGTTTATCTGGTCACGATTTCTGATCATTACTTCTGACAAGTCACTGGCCAGAAATTCTGGTCACAATCGGTTACCAGTTCTATAGTTCTTAAACTTGTAGTTATGATAAGTTACTATCTAATCACCGTGGCTGCGTGGTAACGCACATTCGTTGTGTCTGCAGGGTCTAGGGTTCGATCCCCCATACGTGCGGATTTTTCATTCTTAGATTTAAGTGTTAATGGTAGAGTAATTGTTCATTAGTCTTAAATATTTGAATAAACACAAAAATATAAATAAATATGTAATTATAAACAACATAAAAAGAGCCAGGAAAAATTATATTTTATTCTAGATTTTGAGCAGAAAACTGTCCAGTTACTGGTCAGTTACTTGCCAGTCACTGGCCAGATAATCTAACCAGTGACTGCTAAAGCAGCGCGTTACATTTCTAATCAATCACTTGACAGATTTTCTGGTCAATAACTAAACAGAATCTAGGAAAACTTCATAGTGACTGGTCATAACAGAGTTGAAATTTCTACCTGGGTAGTGCTTAAAGCTTCAGGATTGGAATACCGTGTACCAAATACCGTGGATGATCTAGTTAATGTGTGCCTCATACCGCGAAAATTTCAACTTGTAGAATTGGCAAACGGTTGAATGAAATTAAGCAAATTTGAAACAATGGTTTATTAATTTAACAATAAATATTCTTATATTTTAGCAGATTCTAAATAATAATCACAGAATTCGTTATAAATCTAATAATATCTTTATTTAGTACCTAATAACATTTAATTAAATATTTTTTATGAAAATAGTAAGTATTATTATATAAAAATATTATTTGTTCTAAACCATTTTGAAATTATTTTTTAATTCCTGCGGTTCTCCTTTAACTTGAAAAGCACGATTTGACACTTTATACATATTATTAATGATAATAACGACTCACGGTATTTGGCGCACAAGATCAAAACGTTATCGAATTAACGTGTTGATAAAATAAAAATAAAAATAAAAATACGTTCAATCATAATTTACCACGAAGTTTTGACTTTAAAGATACATTAATTAATCAAATATACAAAAATTAACAAGTTTAAAAGTATTAATAATGAACAACTTGTTTCAATTATTTATCACCATTTTCCCAATAGTCAAGAATTTTAAGGGAAACACGCGATGGAATCCGAATGTTTACTTTTACTTTCTTTGGTAATTTGAAAAAACTAATATAGTAATTTTGCGTACACGATCGTTCTAATTGTAAGTTTAAAAATATTATACGGAGATAATAAAAAATAATAAGAAAATTATAGTAAAAAGTAATGCAAATAAATAATAAAAGTTACTCTGTCATTTTCCGTGAATACAAAATAAGGAAAAAGAAAATACAGAAAAGTTAGAAACCTGAATTGATCTATTTTTTAAAAATTCACTATCAAGCGCGCGAAAATTAATATTGACTAGCATCAGAATCAGGATTGCAATATCTTCAGGGTGTAATTAATTCCCTTGTCAATGAAGTTTACTAATGTCAAAATAGAATGTCGTTTTAGCAGAGAAGGAGCAGTTTAATTTTAGCAACAGGAGGATGCGGAAATCCAATGAAAATGAGTTGTTATGCTCTCTCTCTCAATTATTGTGAAGTATGCTTTTCGATGTTTGAATTTAGGATGAGAATCGTCCAATGGCATACCTTTCCTTTAACTACAGTATCACGTACATACTGTTCTCCAAATATAGCATGCAAATTCCAGCAGGCACTTTCACATTTGACAGATATGTCGGATATGGTTGTCAGCTATGTATGTAAACGTGTTTCTCAGTGTATTAGGTCGCAAGCTCAGGACAAATACGATTATACTCCTCTCTCTCTCACTTACTCCCTCTTGTCCTCAGTTGTAGTTAAACAGACATTTGTAGATACACAAATTTGCCCTAGATATACTATTCTTTGACATCATTCATTGTTAAAATAATATTTAACAGATTTATCACATAAGCTCCAAAAACCGTCATTACTAAGATTTAATTAGCGAATAATAAACTAAGATTGCCAATTCAACATTTTACTATGTTATTGAAGCGTCATGCACTGTTCATTCGAATGTGTCAAATTGATAGGGTAAATTAGTTATAGATGACACAGATTTGAGGCAGTCGCTTATTCTCTGAATCTAAACTAGTAGAAAACAATCTAATTTATAGAGAAATTTTGTAGAAAAAGAGAGAGGTAAATAATTTAGAAGCGACCTTAAACGATGATATAAATGTAAGTAAAATAATATATAAAACACTAAATTATGTACCTAAATAAATAAAAGTAACAAAATTATTTATTTAACTAATATTGCGAATTTCCATGCCATCCAGGCAGTAATTTAAAACATTTATTGACGTGAAACTCCAAAAGAGAAAAATTTAATTAATATATTAGTAGTAAAAACATCCGGGGAAAAATATCATCCGCCCCTTTACAAAGTCTATTAATTAGAAAGTGATATCCAAAGTTGGCTCTATGAAATGATACCGAAAATAATTTATAATGATTCTCATTAGCATAATGAGGTTAATCAATGACAACAGAGAAGTGCTATATGTTTTACCATTTAGTGCCTGTAACGAACTAAATCGTTACGCGATCAATCTCCATTTATTTAGTTAACACGTGGTTTCTATTCGTCAACTCTTTAATTTACTAATTACTATTTCAAATTATTCCCGCGTTTGAAATATAGGTGTCGTCTATGCTTCCTCTAGCAGACGACAGAAAAATACCGCGTGCCGCCAAACTACGACGAGAGAGACTAAGAAAGATTTGCGAGGTCTTCGACTCAAGTCGTGCTGTGACACGAAATTATAACCATTGTATATAACCAAGTTTCATTTTCTTAAATATATTATATTAAGTGTTATTTTGAAGTTTTATTGTGTACAACACCAAATTGCATTCTTCTGAGACGCGGCTGACCTGAACTCGAATTCGTGTGATCCAACGTGGAATCAACACCGGTAAGTTCACCATTGTTATCAACCTAGTTCGTCTTCACTTGCAACTGCTTGCTCAGCCGCCCGTCTCAACATTGCTGGTAACTGGTGGAAATTTTTCTCGTATTGTGTGCTTCATTCTCGAGTCCTACCCACGTGTTTTATTAATATTAAAAATAAATTTTAAATCTCAAGAAAGTCGCCACATGCCTTATATATATATAAGAACATCAAGTCTGCAAACAAGAATCTCAACTTTATTAATGGTGTGACAAAAGATCGACGCAATTCATTTTATTCGTGGGTGTATCTGTTACCGGCAAAACCCGAAGACCAGGCATTTTGCGAAATGCCTAGGCAATTCGAGAAATGCCTAAGAATTTAGGAAATACCCGAATTTCCTAGAGATTTACAGGCAGTTCTCGAATTGCCGGGGCCGTTTTAGGCAAATTATCAATTTGCCTAAAAAGGCTTCGTCATTTTGCGAAATGCCTAGTCAATTCGAGAAATTGACTAAAGAATAGAGTGTATAGGTAGAGTTAACTTATTTTATTGTTTCGCAAATATAAAAAAGTAAAAAATTATTATTTGTTGCAACACGTCGAACTGTTATGGCATTTTGAGTTGCATAGAATATTTTTTTTTCTACAAAGGCATCTTTTTGTATTGCACGATTTTGTGCAATTACAGCGCAAATATCCTTGTCCAGACGTATTAGACTGTTGTGTTGCAACAGAGCTCAGGGAAATGCTCTCGTTGTGGAGAACTTCTTCCTTGTCAATAAAGTTCGTCTTGCATTTCTCGAATTCTGACCTGCAAATATAATTACAATTGTTATTAAAATTGGTAAAAAAAATTATTTACTATAAGAACTAATGATGAATTAATTTACCTGCTGTATAATCGGTTTATTATACCATGACGTGTTCCAACTTTAAAAAGATCGTGCTCTATTTCTAAGACTACTCCAACAACGTTCCTAAGGTCACTTTTCGCCTTGTCCACATCCGGAATTGGAATTATTATGTTGTCTCCAACTTCAATCGCTTCATGATGTTTATCAGAAACTGTTTTCATTTTTTTTGCTTGCCTTTCTAGCCTTTCTGCAGCTTCTTGTCTAGCGGACATAATTTCTTCTTGTCTTCTGTCTATTGAGTCGTCTGATGATGAACTTCCACTTGCATCGTCATTTTCATCTACGTCATTACTCTTCAGCACGTCTTGAAGATCATCTTCAGTTCGGATTTTTTTTATAACGTCACTCGGTAGCTTAGAAGTAGAGAGGCCAACTTTTGGATCCGTACCAAACATGGCTTTATATGGTGCCTGTTTTGTTCCGGAATGCAGAGATCTATTTTTCATAAATTGAATAAATTTTAATCCTTCTGCCCACTTGGTCGTTTTATTATCTTTCATCCACACAGCTAACATGTTTTCAATGTCTTGATTTGCTCTCTCAACCGACCCCTGGCTTTGGCTGTGTCTTGGTTTTCCGTGGACAATTTTGAGTTCAGGCCATAATGATGCTAATTCTGTGATAATCTGATTCACAAATTCACGGCCATTATCAGACTGAAGGATAACAGGGGCACCGAAAGTGAGAAATATGTCTTACAGTTGATAAGCAATCTGTAAAATATAATAGGGTCAAAATAAGTGAAACCGGCCACTTGAAAAATTTTTATCTCCAATTTTCAAGTTATCTATGATTTTTAGTAGATATATGAGTACACTTTTTCCCCCTAAAATATTTTTCAAAAAAAAATTTTATTTTTGAAGTAATTAGGTATTGAAGTTTTAGGTCATTTTATTTTCATTTTATTATTACTTTGAAACAAATAAAGATAATTAAGTAATTTTTTTTTTTAAATTAAAGCTTAAAGTCTATACTTTAAAGATGAAATAAAGCGATTGCTAAAAAATGAAAATTTATAATTGTTATTAACAATTCTTTTAAACAATTGCAAATTGAAGAATGTTCTCAATGTTTTTGAAAGATTAAATTACGATATATTGATGCGCAAAACTATAAGGATTCATTTAAAAAAAAGAAAAATGAGTAACTTCCAATATTATAGAAATTATGTAAATTTTGCTGACAAAATGCAAGCAAAAATTGACTCAAGTTCCTGGAAAAAGATAAAATTGCAAACGAATAAATAAGATCTTCTTTTGTTTTGTTAGAAACTTCACGCTTTCAAGCGGATTTTTAAGATTAAAAATCGATTTTGCCCTTCATTTTGGCAGAAAAATCTACACAATTTCTATAATTTTGGAGGTTACTCATTTTTCTTTTTTTTAAATGAATCCTTATAGTTTTGCGCATCAATTTATCGTAATTTAATCTTTCAAAAACATTGAGAACATTCTTCAATTTGCAATTGTTTAAAAGAATTGTTAATAACAATTATAAATTTTCATTTTTTAGCAATCGCTTTATTTCATCTTTAAAGTATAGACTTTAAGCTTTAATTTAAAAAAAATTACTTAATTATCTTTATTTGTTTCAAAGTAATAATAAAATGAAAATAAAATGACCTAAAACTTCAATACCTGATTACTTCAAAAATAAAATTTTTTTTTGAAAAATATTTTAGGGGGAAAAAGTGTACTCATATATCTACTAAAAATCATAGATAACTTGAAAATTGGAGATAAAAATTTTTCAAGTGGCCGGCTTCACTTATTTTGACCCAATATAATATAATATAATGTAATATAATATAATATAATATAATATAATATAATATAATATAATATAATATAATATAATATAATATAATATAATATAATATAATATAATATAATATAATATAATATAATATAATATAATATAATATAATATAATATAATATAATACAATATAATATAATATAATATAATATAATATAATATAATATAATATAATATAATATAATATAATATAATATAATATAATATAATATAATATAATATAATATAATATAATATAATATAATATAATATAATATAATATAATATAATATAATATAATATAATATAATATAATATAATATAATATAATATAATATAATATAATATAATATAATATGTTTTCAAATCTTTATTTATATTTTTTAAATTTTTTAAATGAAAGTAAACAATACTTTTAATATTCGTTTAAATTAAATAATGTAATAATAAACTGTTTAAAAATGAAATACCTCTGCTGCACGTTTTGATGACAGCGGTCGAAGAATAACAAATTTTGTTAGGTGGTCCTGGTACACCATGACGAATTTATAATTATTGTCAGCTTGTGATTGTAAATCTATGAGATCGACTTGACATCGACTATTCATTTCTTTGTGAAGAATTGGTTTAAAAACTAAACCACGTTTCCTCTTTACTTTTTTTTGGTGGCATGTTTCACACATCGATAGAAATTTTGTGATTGTTTCACGAGTAATATTTGCATATTTCTTGCTAGTTTCAGACAGCATACGATCTCGACCTCCGTGACCAGTTGCGATGTGAGCTGCTTCCAAGATATCAAATATTTCCTCTGCCGGCACAATGTACTTAACTTCACCGTTCGTGCACTTTGAAATTAATTTCGACAATCTACCAACTTGCAAAACGTCATATTTATACATTCTTCTATACTGAAGACTGTTTTTTGCACCATTCAATTTTATATTAACAACATCTTTTAAAATTTCGTCATATTTTTCTTGCGAAAATATTTTATAATTCAAGGATTGATTAATTATTGAGTTAAAATTATTTTTCAACTGCTGCTTCGAATCTTCACTAGCCATTATAACTAATATGTTTACACCTCAAAGTCAGTACAGATACTAATAATAGTAAGCAATGTAATTGAGTATTGAAGGAAATTTTGATTATTTGTTTTTGTCTATAAATGACTCAGATAATCTATTTCTCAATTTGCCTAAAATTACGAAGCCTTTTTAGGCAAATTGATAATTTGCCTAAAACGGCCCCGGCAATTCGCGAAATGCCTAGGCAATTCGAGAACTGCCTGTAAATCTCTAGGAAATTCGGATATTTCCTAAATTCTTAGGCATTTCGCAAAATGCCTGGTCTTCGGGTTTTGCCGGTAACATATCTATAGAATAGCAGCATAAGTTGTTTCGCAACAAAAACGAAGAAATCTATATTGTACTCGCTCTATTCTTGTCAAGCGGAATGTATAGAAAAGAACCCTAACTACAGAAAGGTACACTATAGAAGTGATATAACTAATGTAAAAACAAAACATTAAATGTACTTAAATTCTTAAAATAAGAAGAATATCTGATTACAAATCCCAATGTTCTTAAAGTTCTAGATACACTACCGTCCGTGAGTATCAGGACGCCCCTTTTTCATGAGTGGAAAAATGCTTAAAACGTAGAAAATAAGAATGACAAAAATTTTTCGTATTTTTTTCCTGAAAACTAATGAAATTATGAAAAGACTGACACCTGATCGAAGAATTTTCGTTGACTATTCTGTCAGATACAGAAAAAATACTGGATTTTGCATGCTTTTCGTAATTTTTTAATTTCTCGAAAACTAATTAACTTTTTTTAGCGTTCTTGGTCTTGTTTTAATCTCTATTCAATGTAGAATCTAAATTAATTAATGGTATTGTGATATAAATTTTTCCAAAAAAATTGGAAACTGTGAAAGTCGGATAAAAAAATTTTGAAAAACAGATTGACACTTTTCAACAAAAAATTTTTTTTTAAATTAAATAATCAAGTAATTAAAAAGTTTTTTTGAATTTTAGTATATCTATTAAATGAACATATTTTACATTGACCTTTTTGACACTTTAATATTCCTGATAATTTTTTGAATTTTTTTAATCCTACTTTTACGCTTTCATATTTTTTTGGAAAAATTTATTTTACAATACCAGTTAATAATTTAGATTCTTCATTAAATAGATATTAAAACAAGACCAAGAGCGCTAATAAAAGTTAATTAGTTTTCGAGAAATTAAAAAATTACGAAAAGCATGCAAAATCCAGTATTTTTTCTGTATCTGACAGAATAATCAACGAAAATTCTTCGATCAGGTGTCAGTCTTTTCATAATTTCATTAGCTTTCAGGAAAAAAATATGAAAAATTTTTGTCATTCTTATTTTCTACGTTTTAAGCATTTTTCCACTCATGAAAAAAGGGGCGTCCTGATACTCACGGACGGTAGTGTATAAATTCAGAGATATGATTATTAAAGCATAATTTACTATTAAAAAGCAAACCAAGATCACGTAATTCATCAACCCTAAAAAATTCGTGTTGACCAATAGTGTAACAATATTTAAAATTTGTTCTTTTAGAAAAAGATATTATAGAACTTTTAGCCATATTAATAGACATTAAGAGCAATTATCAGAAAACATTGCTGTTCTTATTTTTATCTCCACTTTTATAAACAGGACTACTTAATTATGTTCTTCCTTTAATCAGAAGGAAATACACTTTATTAACTACCTTCTGATTTTCAATGTAAATACTCCAAAAAAGAGATAAATGACATTCAATAGTATACAATAACTTCAAAAAAATCATTTATCCATAATTATAAATGAAAATATTTTTAATTTCTTATATCTTTCAGTTATCCGAATCGGGTTCCCCCTAATTATATTCGGATAATCAAGGTTCCACTGTATTATTATTTTACTCCTAACAAAAGTATTAAATTGATACACTTTCGGACCAACCCATCAATACAAATTAACTGCAGAAATAGGGACATTTTGTTGGGAAAAGTGAACCAATTTTACAATACCTTAGGGAGGATTATTATACGACTATGAAATATACATTTTTTATTTTTTGAGGGAGATATTGTAGAGGAATCAGAAAACGTTTCCGGAGATCGAAATGTAAATTATCTTTGATTTGATCATTCAAGTTCACGTCTATCATTCATACATATATGCGTATTCAGCAGAGAATGCAGTTGGTGATATATTATACATAGAATACACGAATCCAGATGCTTCTACAGTCGTTAAAACACTCGTACAAACTTCTGCATTGTGTTTTGAATTTTGCGGGTTCAATTAAAATGTAGCAGTTATATAAATTTCACAGGATATATGTATAACGTGATGCAGAGGAAACTATTCTGCATAACCCTACTATGAAATCACAATTTATTTGTTTTCAAACGTGAACAGCATTGTGACCATTTCCATAAAGTTTCATATGCTTCACAAAGTGTTTATTATGTCATGCGTGGTAAATTTCTTGGTATAAATGCTCTCAACTTTATCCATTTAAATAAATATACATGCACATACTTATATATTTATATGTCTTTAAATTTAAATATAACTATTTGTGGACGTCCACATGAAAAGGGCTCATATTGTCGGTTCCAGTTTTCGAGATAATCGCAATTTAGTAATTTTAGAGCAAAATCTTAATTTTTTAAAAATTTTTTATTATCAATCTACATGTTTTGACAAGTCGAATCATGCGGTTTTCATTAATTTATCGATAATTTAACTGTTTGATTTCATTGGTTCTTTAGAAAAATGAAAAGGACCATTTTGTCGGTCATTTGCAAAAGTAATCCGAATTTTAAAAATGAAGGTGTGGGAAAATTTAAAACCTATTGGTTTTTAATCTTTTAGGTACCCTGGACTGTAAACAATTCTTATCTGAATAACTTCCCAGAAGAACTAGAGATATTGATGTTAGAGTCTTTTTTTCGTAATTGTGGAAATGAAAATTTGGATATTGCGTCATTTTTTTCATAATAGAGACTGTCAAAAAATTTTTAATAAGTTTAATATATATTCTTTTTCTTCAAATTACACAATAAAATTGTACCTAATCATTAATCTTGTAAAAAATGGTTTTTTAATAGAAAAATTCTCCTTTTTAGAAAAGGACCCATATTGTCGATTTTTAGTACTTAAGTACGAAATTTTTGAAAATTAAGAGGGGGGATGGTTTTAAAAATTTTAAACCTGTTGGTTTTTTATCTTCAAGGTGCTCTGAACTGGAAACAATTCTTATCTGAATAACTTCCAAGAAGAACCAGAGATACAACAATTAGTTGATATCGCAATCTTTAATTCCGTTTTTCTCGAAATGAGGTTTGTGGCGTTCTAAACTTTGAAATTTCGTAACTCAGCGAATTTTTAACCAAAAAAGTTCTAAGACCACTCAAAATTTTCCAAATTTTTCCAGGAATACGCCGATATAGATAACTCCAATAGTGCCAAAATGGGCCCTTTTCATGTGGACGTCCACATTTAAAGATTTATATTAAGATTTAAATAATTCGTCCCTTCTAGAAGAAATCGATTGGAAACAATTGAAAACAATTCAAAAGAATTGTCTATTGTCCTCAATCGTGTTTCTTAATCGTGTTCTTACAATTGGGGACGATTGACTTTTTAATCGTTCTTAATCGTGCCCTATCGGCTACATTGCATGCACTATTTGGTGGGAGATTTGAAAATTTTAAAAAGGGTTATTTATTAATTGACATTGTTATTAAAAAAATAACATTGTTTAAAAGATTATTTTTTGGACTAAAAATTAAAATATTAATCAATGCATTTGTCACTCAGAAAGAAAACAAGATACTTTAGCAAAAAATTAAGTTATTTTTTTATTCGTCTTTGAATAATGCTGCAAAAAACTAAGTATTGATAGTTTATTGAAAAAATTGTAAATAATAATTGTTGACAAATACATCAAATATTATTTTAATAATTAAATTCTGTTTAAAAAAATAATCTTTATGACACTGTTATTTATTCAGCCAAAAGGGTAGACCTGAAAAAATAAAATGAATTAAATTATTCTTATTTTTAAATAAATGAAATATATTATTAATTTTAATATAAAAATACTAAATTTTTAAAAAACTGATGTAAAATTCAGTATAATTGTATGAAATATTATGAATATTAGGGTGATTAAATTTAAAATGTCATTTTTGATCCTACTAACTTTGATTTTTCGATGTTGGATTTTGAACTTAACGATACTCTATTTTGGTTGACTAGAATATATGATGGACAAAAATAATAGTGGTCGAGCAGGTGGAAGCAAATTTTAATTTTCACCAGGTGAAAAACGATAGGCAGAAATGATAAGAAATTTTCTGTTTTCGTTTATTCTTTTCTCAAATAAATTCTTACAACTTTAAAAAGTTAAAATATTTCAAATTACAATAATGAATGTTTTAGCATGACTTAAAAAATATTTGTAATGAGTTCTGCCATAAATTAATATACTTTTGAAGACCAAAAAGACATATGAACATTGAGGGACACCACTGACATTTTTGAAAGATTTCACTGATAATTTTTTTTGAATAGTGAGAATAAAATCAGCTTATAAATTACAATCCAGTATCAAATCTTCATTAACTGCATATAAGGAGTAAATTTAACACAAATTTATTAAAAATAAAATAATAAGATGCAAGAAACAGAATTTTGATGGGACACCACTGACAAGGGACACCACTGACATTTTGCTTCATTTCTCAATTTCGAAAAAGAAAGACTTTATGTTTAAGTTCAAGTCGGTGCGGTTTTTAAAGTACGTGTAATAACTGAAAACGAGATACAATAAAATTTAAAAAATATTAATATTATGAACAAT